GTGAGTCATTCCATACTGGCAAAATTTTGGTTCAATTTCTTTGAGCAAATACAATTCTGTGTTATTACATGTATGTCACTGTGATATTATATGTACTTCACTGTTTCAGGTGTTAAACTATGTGTAAAATAAGAGAACGAAGAGCATTCCTAAAAAGGAAGGCACAGCTGCAGGGTGTAGACAGTGTGCACTCTCTGTAGGCACGAATGTGCTTGTCTTGATTTTTCACATGTATAAGTGATTTCATGTAGAAACTGATGCAGGGGGTGGGTTCTCATGCAATTATGACATAGTTATGGTTTATTAATAGTGAGTAAAATTAAAATAATAAAGGCGATGACTTTGAAAGCATATTGATGTGTGATCTACTATTACTTTTTCCAGATATACACAATCTGTTTATTGCATGCCATGGAGATGAACACACTTTTCATTTATGTCATCATTGAAAAATGCCTTTTATTCCAAGCTGTTATTGGACTCCCAGCCAACATCTTCCTCCTCTTCTCCCTTCTCATACTCCTTCTGGACCACAAACCTAAGCCTATGGACCTGATCATCTGTCACTTGGCCTTTGTGCACGTAGTGATGCTTCTCACTGCAGCTGAAATTTTGTCTCCAGAGCTGTCTCAGTCACCGACTTTCTGGAACGACTTCACATGTAAGGCGCTGTTCTTTGTATTTAGGTTGATGCGGAGCCTCTCCATCTGCATCACTTGCCTCCTGAGCGTGTTCCGGGCCATCACTATCAGCCCCAGCACATCCTGGTTGGCAAGGTTCAAAGAGAAATCCAAGAATTACAAGATACAGGGTTTTTTTTCCTTTCTTTTTGGTTCCTCAGTTTGTGCCTTAGTTCCTATATGATCTTATACACTGTAGCTTATTCCAATGAGACAGAGACTGATCTACAGAATATCAGTAAATATTGTGCTCTTTCCCCCAATATCTCTATCATCAGGAGTTTTTATTCCACTCTGTCTTATACCAGGGATGCCTTCTTTTCAGGAATTATGCTGCTCTCAAGTGTGCTCATGGTCATTCTCTTGTTCAGGCATCAGAGACGATCCCAGCACCTTTACAGAACAAGCCTCTCCCCAAGACCCTCCCCAGAGAACAGAGCTACCCAGACTATCTTGCTGCTGGTGTGTTTCTTTGTGGTCATATACTGGGTGGACATTATCATCTCAACCACAGTAGTCTTCTTACAGATAAAAGAACTAATTCTTGTCGGTGTCCATCGGATTACGATCTACGTCTATGCCACTATCAGTCCTTGGGTCCTCATCTCTTCTGATAATAGGATAATCAGTGCTCTGAAAAATACGCAGCAGAAGTGTCATCAGCATCTAAAAAGTTACTTATGAACATTTATTTCTATAAAATTTATTTCTTCAGTGACTAGTTAAGTAATTTAAAAAGGACAGGAAGTATCTCATTTAAACAATAGGCATATAATTACATTCTCATGATGTATAAAGTTTTCTTTGCATTTTTTGTTTGCCACTGTGCAGATGTACAGGTGAAAGAGAGAGAAAGGGCAAGTGAGAGAACCACCAACACCACAATCCTTTCTTCTTCCATTTCTCCAACTCATTAGAATCCTAGACGTGTGTCCATGCAACCAGTGTTTTTTTTCCAAGTCTCCAGAGCTCAGATTCAAAGTTCAGTTGGCCACTTGAGATGCAGCTCCTTCTACTCACACTTGACCACTCTGCTACAGTGGCTCAGTTAGGTGGTGGAAGATTTCATTTCCTGGTAGATGCCTGACAGAGGACCCCAGTCTATGTGTAGATCTCACATACAGGTCATCTTTACACCTTGGAGGGGACCTGCAGTCTCCTGAACATTGCATCTTGACAGGCCAGCTAGAGGATCTCTCTCCACTCTGACAAGATTGTTTCTTATATAAAGTTGTAATCACAAAAACATTTGCCTACCACCTTTGCCATTTTCCATTTCCTAGAACAAGTCCCAGGTCTCCCCACACTCAAGTGCAGAGAGAAACACAGGGCAAGACACCAGCGGGCAGAGATGATGGGGCCATGTTTGAGTTCTGCTTACCCCCTCCACCCTGTAAATAAGCTTGATCTATGACACCAAGAACATCTCCACCAGAAAAGAAATAACGTTCCAAAAATTCTCCCAATGTAGTGAGAAATTAGACTGTTTCTTAACCTCTGTCTGAGCTTTTGAATCTTGCCTTTCTTTTTGTGACACCTAAAGTTTTCAATCTCAGCCCTTCTGATGTTCAGAGGGACAGACAAGTGCTGCTTCGGGTAACAGGGCTGTGCATCATAGAACCTCTGTACTGACTGAATGCCAGTGGGTGCCAGCAGTTCTTGCATAAGTCCTCTTGTCAGACTTCTCATTACTTTATTCAAATGAAGCGATAACAGCAAACAATATTGTCTTTTTTCAGATCTTAGAAAAAAATGTTTTCAGATTGTTAACATTAAGTGCGAAGTTAAATGTGAGCTTTTTGTTCATGACCTTTCTCCATTGACGTACCTGTGAAACTAATGTTTTGAATTTTTTAAAAATGTCAAAGTTGTTCGATTTTGTCAACTTGCTCATTTTAATTTTTGAGATAAGTGATTTTGTTCTTTTCATTGTTACTCATTTTACTAATGCTATGTATCATAACCATTGATTTCTGTTTTTGAACCATCTTTGGATCCAAGGAATAAATTCGATCTGATCATTGTGATTTTTTTACGAGTTGTTGGAATTGGTTTGCTATTTTTTTTTTTTTTGAGAGATATTTCCTATACGACTTGAGCTTTCGTCAGAGAGACACAAAGTGAGAAATCACTCCCTAGGGGGGATAGCCACAAAGAAACCCCTTCTCCTGCATTTTCCTCTCCGGCTTTTGAGCGTGCATACATGCATCCTGCCTGAGTTTTAGCAGCTGGGTCTGGACTCCATCTGCAGTGCAGGGTTCACTAAATAGGAGTCTAGTTCAGGGATGTAACCATTATGCTATCTGTTGATCCTGATTTGCTCACATTTTGACAAGAGGTTTTATGTCTATGTTCATCAGGGATATTGGCCTGTAGTTTCTCTTTTTTGCATTGTCTTTTATCTGGCTTCAGAATGAGGATGATACTGGCCTCTGAAAATAACTGTCTTCTATTTCTACTTTATAGAAGAATGTAGAAAGGATTAGCATGAATTCTTACTTATTTTTAGTTTTTCATCTTTTTATTCATTTTTTTTAGGATTAAAGTTTCCTTTACTACTATCTTTTCCAATCTTTATCCTTTATGAACTAAATTATTTTTATAAGATTAGATTTAACCCTCTAGTATAATAAAATGGCACAGGTAGCTTACATTTTACATAAAATAATATTCAACTCAGTTCAGAGGAAAGTATGGTTCTAAGGAAAGAGAGAACAAGTCATTAGAAAGAGGCTTTCTGCCTAAGTACAGAGTTACTGTTCATGCCAATGCTGTATTTTATACTGGTATCACAGTTCAGAGAGAAAAGGTACATCTTCAAATGAAAGTACAGTTAAATAATGCCATCTCTCTTCTTGTGCTGCAAATCCTGGACAGCTCCTTTGTTATTAAGTGCCACTCAATAAATGAGAACAGTTCCAGCATTTGCAATTTCATGGCATCAAAGTACTTACTGATGATGTATTTAGCTCTCATTGCTAATGAAGTTCCCTTCACAAGGTGACATGTGCAAGTTAAGATTTGGTAGTGAGTTTTTAGCATTAGCTAAAGTCCATTCACTACATCCTGAAGAGGTACCCTCTGTACACACAGCAACACAGGTGTCCACTAATGTATAATAGGACATCACAAACACCTATAACCCCTACAGTGATATCAGCTAAGAACTAGGACCACGTCACGGTGAACCTGGATTAGAATTTTGGATAGTTATTTAGAATAATAATATCTCCACCAACTACAATGGGGACATTGCTTTCAGCAGCTTTATATTGTATAAAAGCTAGCCTTGCTTGAATTTTCATGAATTTCATGGCTCTGGTTGGGCCAATTAATAGGAGAGAATCAGCAAACATGATTGTGCTCATGAGGCCTGAGAGGACCAGGAAGCACCCTATTCACAGTAACAATACAGTAAAAACATACTGGAAGTGAATGAAAAGGGAGGGGGAACCCACCAAACACAGCATTTCCACATGAATTAAATAGTCTCTACTTCATTAAGATGTTTGCTGCCACTCCTGGATGGAGTACTGACAAATGCTGTAAAGTTCCTCTTTTATAGAAATTAGTACACCTCACCTTTATGATTTGGTAATAGTTTAAAAAACTACTTTTTCCACATATAAGCTAGTAAACTAACAAAGCAATAAGGAACACCTCAGCCTTCTCAAAAGTAGGATGGACTTAACAAATTTTTTTGGTAGGCTAAATGCTCCATCTAAATAAAGCAGCATATTCTGAACTTCCCATCTCCCTATTTAGTAATGGCAAAATCCATCCATTGAAAGCCTTGATAACCAGATGATATAATTCCTTAAGATTTTAGTTCAATTTCTAATCTACTTTCTCTACGCCACAGGACATGGCAGGTTCCCAAGACGGCTCTAGGAGACAGTTTTTACCCTATCTGTTGCCTATTTACAGAGGAGGATGCCTTAGTTTGTGTCACCTAAAGACAAAATACGGCTTCAACACTGCCTGTAAGGGTGGGCTCTTAGATGCATTTGTATGTTTTCCCAAAAGAGGCGATAACCTTTCTCTAAGTGACAGGGTACAGCCGTATGTATGTGTACAATTCTCAGACTGCAGAAGAGCTACACTTTCGCATTCCAGTTTCTTACCCTCAAAGAAAAGCCATTCTTTTCTACCCATCCTTCCACATATACAAAGCATTCTCAGAAAAGAGGCACACAACTGATGTTCTACCAATGGCTCACTAATGCAGGCGCGACCAGCCCTTGCCCAAATCTTTATAGTAATCTGTGCCTAGCACCAAAACAATTTCTTAAACCATTACATATTTAAATCCTAGAGGAGGAGGGAAAGAGCCTTTAGTGCTTTTGTGTATGTTGCTGATTTTCTAGTTTGGCAACATCCTGGGAGCATCTTCTGGTCTAGGGATGTGGCATTTTGTGAATCTAAGTACCAGCCCATGGCCCTGATGCTGGCTGCTTACGGCCCAGAGGGGAAGAGGGTCTGCCCCCTCCCCCTCAATGTTTCAATCCGGCCCAGTAGTGGACACAGAGCCCTGGGCAGTTTCCCCGGGAGCAACTGTCTCTTCCTGTGAGGGTGACTCTTCCTCGGCCTGGCCTCGTGATGTGACAGTTGTTTCAGGGGAGATGCTGTGAGGCCCTTCCAGGGGTATACAGCCCGGTTGGTTTTTGCGGAAGTGCTGATTCAAGATGGCCTGGAAGGGGAAACTTTTACCACAAACATGACAGTGAAAGGGCTTGTTGCCTGTGTGCTTGCAGATATGATACTCCAGCTGATCTTTCCGGGTATACTTCTTGCCACACATGCAGCAGACGAATGGCGTGATCCCCATATGCAGGCGCAAGTGACGGTCCAGGCTCCCCTTTTGGTTGAAAGATTTGGCGCAGTAGATGCAGGTGAGACTGGGGTTGTACCGGAACCACCGTTCAGAGACTTCCTGCTCTCGGAGATACTCCACGTACCCATTTACTCCCTTCGCTGCTGACTCTTCTACCTGTCAACTTCACTGCTTGTTGGTCGAGCCACCTTGGCTCCTGAAGACCCTAAAGTGTAGCTTTCCTGACCTACTGGACCATGGCCCGTGGTGTCAATCACCATGGCTGTGACTTCCTCTGCACTACTCCCATCTTCTCCGGAGGGCTGATTCTCAGGTCCAAGCCACTCCTCCAGATTTTCTGTTTTGATATGAACTGCTCCAAGCACCCTCACCTCATCATCACTCCGGGCCCCTCGGTCTGCTACTCCTGTCTCCACATACCATTGTCCTGCTCGGTTAATCCGAAGAATGGGCTCCCGGCCCTCCACGTCAGAACTCTGCTCAATTATCTGAGAGCTGGTGGACTCCTCAGGAGGACTGAGCTCTCTGATATCCAGCACAGCACTAACCTGACCTCGTCGGTTTCCTTTTGGGGTATTGTGACGAGGGCTGAGGGAGTGGCTTAGATTTGGTGTGACCCTGTGAGACTCTGGAGGTCTTTCCTGATGTTTGGTCCTTGTTTGACTTAATTCTGCTTCAACCTCAGCCACATTAATTTTGAAATGAATACCCTCTAGGATCTGTGTACATTTGTCTATAATATGCTGCATCTGCAGAAAACTGGCAGCTGTCAAATAGCTGATGATATCTGCCAGTTGTAGGCATATCCGTCCCGTGTAACAAAAAGAAAGGAGCTGTTCAAAAACAGTAGGATTCTTGATGACTGAAATGGACACAGTACTCATCTCATTCAAGGACATGTGATCCCGGAAATAGGGGGAGCTGGCAGCCAGTACCACTTTATGAGCTCGAAAGGCTTGTCCTTGCACATTGACCACAATATCACAGAGACGGCCCTGCATGCGTAGCTGGTTGAGATGGCTCAGGACAGAGTTGCTGAAGTCAGGGATCTCTAACTGTATGTTCCCACCTTTCTCCATGATCGTGCCTGATGGGTACAGGCAGGCATTCAACCCTGATGAAAGAAAATATAGTAATAATTATTCTTTTACTTCTGATGCTTTCCAGTTTAAACATTTTTAAAGACAGCATTTAGTAAAATTTCAAAATCTCCAGAAAAAAAGAGATTTCTTATGTTTAGATATGGAACTAGACCAATGAGATTTTTAGTTTAGGTTTTGCAATGAGATACAGTTAAATCCAAAAAGTGATTGTAAGACTTCTAAAAATTCAAGCTATGACCATACTTTCTTTACTAGTAAGGTATACAAAATTGATATGGAAGTTCAACAGAGCAGAGGGGAGGAAAGGCAGTATGACATTTTTCTTTTTCAATGTTAATTGCAAGGCATTAGCGGACTGAATATAAGATCCCGCAGCAACTTTACAATTTTTCTCTGGAGAAAAAAATAAGCTTCTTGAATAAATGCACTGTACACAGATTGGTCAAATATTTCTCTTCATATTTTAGTATATGCTGCATGCAATATGCTTATTTTTCACTAATACCCCATATGAATATAGGCCAATATTTCTAAGTCAAAGCCCCACAAGACATTTAGACTAGAGACCTTCCATAGCTATGTCAGAACTCAAGCTAGATGTGGAGAATGCAAAGTTTAGTTCTCAGATTGAAAAACAGTTAAATCTACCTCTAAAAGTCAAAGCTGGAAATTTCAGGATGGTGGTTAATACTTTGATTCTAAAACCTATTAATAGTTCTCCAGAGCGAGTAAAAATAGAGCATTTGCCAGGTACAGTCAACTTTTTACATTAAAAGATTTTTGAAAAATAGCTGAAATACTTGAGCATGTAGCTGTATCTAAACAGTCCTCAAGAGCTGAGAGTAGTCTGTATAAATCCCAACAGTAAGACTCAGATTTGAGCCCGATGCGTACCTAGTTATCTAAAACTTTTATAAGACATTGCATTTACAACACACTTATCAGCAAACAGGGAAGTGTATAAACGGCTTTCAAGAACCAACTTTAGCCAACCTGACCTTTTTCCATAGCGTTACTGTTTGTTTTGAAACTTTTAATCCAATAAGAGCCTCTGTCGATGCCATCATGAATTCAGATGTGTTTATTTTGGAGCCTACACCAGCGCCTTTTTGTTTGCTCTTTCCAGCAATTCCCCAGTGAGGAGGAAGCCCCAGGAGTAAGCTCTTTCTCTACCGTCGGCACTGGAGGAGTGAGAGCTGTAAGGGGGAGAATCGGCAACGGTGCGGAGTTGGCAGGCTTCATCTGCGTTAGGGAAGGTGGGGTGAGGGGAGCCGGTGAGGGGCGATGTCACCGAGGACCTCGGGATGCGAGGGGACGAGGTGCCTAGGTGAGAGCTAGAGGCCAGAAAGCTCATTATTTTATTTTCATTTTAAATTTATTTATTTTATATTCATTAACTATATATAATTGCAGCATACAAAATGAGTTTTCTCATCCAAATATTAATTATTATTTAAATATTTTATAGAATTCAATATTTAAGGCTTCTGATCCTTGGCTTTTCTTTCTTGAGAGTTTTAGTTGCCTTTTTTTTTATTGATATCTGATTCATATACTTATTATTAACTGATTTTTTTTTCAGGTTTTCTTTATTTTCCTGGATTAGTCTTATTAGGTGGTATAAGACTTGGAATTTAATCATTCCTTCTACTATGTCAAAACCATTGGCCCATCATCGGTTATGGCCTATCTCATGACACTTTTTCTTTACTTCTGTGGCATTGGTCTTGGTGTGTCCTCTTTATTTCTGTTTATTTGTGTCTGCTGTCTTTATTTCTTATTTAGTCTAGATGAGCTTTTGTGGATTATAAAATTGTAGTGGAGTTGAAAATTTCCTGTCAGCTAGTGATGTGGTGACCATCATGACATCTCCCACAGCAGTCCTCACGTGTTTAAGGTGATGTTGGTGTAACGAACTGCCGTGTGGCCCCTTGTGTGAAAGTGTAACACATATAAGTACATACAGCACATGGTGCTTGATAACGGTAGTCAATGACTATTTTACTAGCTTATATATTTACTGTACTATGATTTTAAAACTGTAAATGACAGAGAGAAGGAGTGAGAGAAACGGTTACTGGGCAGAGTTTGGTTGAGTTTCTCTTCTATTGTCCCAGGCTCCCAGTGAGCTAGGACTGCAGGCATTATTATTATTATTTTTTTTTTTTTTTTTACCATGGCTAACCTGCTTGCTTTGGTTCAGGAATCGATACCAGGTCTCTTCTGTGGCACCGATATCACACAGCAGTGCTCTGCTGTTCGTATCACCACAACATGGTCTGTACTGTACTCTCTCATTATTCAGAAGTGCACTCCTTCTACCAATGAACCAAAAACCAAGGCCCAGCCTGGTGCTGCTATGTTCCACTGGGACCTCTTCAGTGATCTGAATGCTTTAAACCATGATTTCTCTTCAGCTCATCCATGTGCATTTGGAGAAAACTGGGCCATTGAGAAGACACATGAGGCATCTCCTCCTCACCTCTTCTCATCTGAGAGGCAGAAACTGTCATTTCTAAGAGAATATCCTTCCCCTGAGTTCTAGGAACTTCCACCAGTAAGTGGAGAAAAGATACGCTGAGGCTGAACTGAAAAGCTGGAGTATTAGGTGGAAGAGTTCTGCTTTGGTTCCTCCAGGTAAGACCCCCTCCCCAGAGGAAGGAAGCTTCTTGCAAAAGGACACCAAGGACAAAGCACCTGCACTACAACTGCTGAATGTTTACGATTTTCAAAGGAAGAAATGTGTTTCCTGTGCCTGCTGTGCTTACAGGTAAAGTTGGTCTACCTCGTCTTCCATGTTACTAGCAGCTCTCCCAGACCACGAGGGGACGATGTAGTAGTTCCCTCAGAACCCTCTAGCAATCAAGCGAGTAGCCTGATGATTTCAGGTTCCTGAGCAAGTGCAGGCAGATGTCAACCAGGAGTGTCCAACATTTATTAATTTTTGTCACACTGTCTCAGGGATTAACCTAAAGCCCAGACCTCGGAATGCCCGTTGTAGAGGCTCAGGTCCTCCCGTGGAGCCATCTTCCACAGTTTCCCCTGAAATAGATCCTGACCAGAAACAAATGTATTCCCATTTTTATCTGTGAGGAAAGATATTTTCTCATCTTTTTCTCAGACTAGGTCAATGCTTTCCCTTACTCTGGCTATAAGGGCTCGCTTGTTTGTTGTGCATATGTCTAGGGAATGGAGAAGAACAGAAACATATCAGGAAAGCTATAGAGAGATAAACAGAAGTAAGAGAACACAAAACATCTAGGGAAAATGGCAAGTCCATACATATTGATAATAGCATTGAATGTCAGGGCTAAATGTAAATTCAACAATGTTACACACGAGCTGGTTTAAATAAAAATCTACCAGTTGTTTGATAAACAGTTGCCTCCCAATGTTTCAATTTATATATTTATTATAACCATTACTCATTGTATCAACCTAAAAATCAGGGAAAAAAAAGTCCTAAGTGATACTGCTTAGTCTTTCTTTGGGACAAATTATAATAAAAGGCTGAAATCTAAAACTGTGAAAAGCCTATAGATCACAAAACCACTGGCTTTCCCATGTCTTCACTTTTAAATATCTCTTTACAATTTTGTTTTATCTTTGTTTTTTCAAGTATTTATTTTTTCGTTTATTCAGAGAGAATTTTGTCTAGGGCTTGATTTTGAGGACCCATGCACCTGTTTTTGGCATGAGTTTTATGCTGCTGGATCTGAGAGTAGAACCAGGGTCAAGTACCTGGGAGTCCAGTGATGTAAACATTATGCTATCTGCTCATCCTGAGGACATATTTCTTTATGCACAGTACAGTAATATGATCTTACAGGACTCACAGTGTGTGAGTATAAGTGTTCTTTTTCTATTTCTTATTTACATTTAATCATTGTACATCTTTATATAGCATACACTATGGTTTTTCTTTTCCCCCTTGAATTCTTCCCTTCTTGGTACATGTGAAGGCATCTGGCCAGCAAGGGACAGAGGCAGGGGCAACACTGCCTCCACTGCCTCCCATCCAGACCCCCTAGTTCAGGATCCACCCAGACCCACAGACTGCCCCTTTGGCTGTAGCATCCAGCAGCCTGGTACATCTGAAGGTATCTGGCCAGTAAGGGACAGAGGCGGGGCAACACTTCCCCCACCACCTCCCATCTCGGTCCCCCAGTTCAGGATCCACCCAGACCCATAGACTGCCCCTTTGGCTGTAACAGCAGCAGCCTGGTACATATGAAGGCATCTGGCCAGCAAGGGACAGAGGCAGGGACAACCACCTCCCATCCAGGTCTCCCAGTTCAGGATCCACCCAGACCCATAGATTGCCCCTTTGGCTGTAGCAGCCAGCAGCTGGTACATCTGAAGGCATCTGGCGAAATCACGTGCTGCGTGATTCTTTATTCCCCTCTCTCCTCCTTTCTTTTCCCTTATATTATCTTCTCTTCTTCTTCCATCTTGCCAGAGAGACTAGGTAGGTCTAGAATCAGAGATCTGAAATTTTCTAGTCATATGAAGTTCTAAAGACCTCCACAAGGAAAACTATGAGAAGCTAAAAAAGAAATTGAAAATGGCACAAAAAAGTGGAAGGACATCCCATGTTCCTGGACTGGAAGAATTAATATAACCAAAGTGGCAATTCTACCCAAATTAATCTACCTATTTAATGCAATGCCAATCAAAGTACCAGACACATTCTTCACAGAATTAGAAAAGATGAATCTGAACCCCTATCTCTCACCTTTGACAAAAATCAAGTAGTCAAGGTGGATCAAGGATCTAAATCTAAGACCCCAAAGTATTAAACTGCTTCTAGAAAACACTGGGGAAACGCTGAGAGACA